AGCACGGATTTTTGGTGTCCTGCAGCTTGGGTAGATATCCTAAATGTTGGATTCTTGGGAACTGTCAAAAAGATGTAAGCAGAAAGAAAAGACTTTGGTTTTGGCTGATCTTTGGGGTAGGCCAGACAAGGTAGGAGTATTAAAGATGTAGAATGAATACGCACTCTCTGAACAGCTGCGATAAACAGCCCCTTCAGGTGTTACTGTCCGACTAGTTTTGTGAGCGTTCCCTCACCTGTCAGTACCAGCTGGGTTAGGTACCCATGGATGCTGCCTCAAGTAATTAGACTGGACAAGCTAGGAAGTACTTGTGTGAGCAGCTCTGCAGTCACTTGAAAGGACGGTACTGCTTAGCAACTGGGAGTTACGTTGGTTGTGGGGATTTTTTTGGCAATATACCTGGGTCCAGGGGAGAACAGTTGCTCACAGCCTCTTAAAAACACTCACCAGACTAAATTCGGACAGCTAAATAGGAAAGAGAGAATCTGATTTGGGAACATGGTTAAGTCTAAGGAATGAGAATTTCAGGAAGTTTCATGATACCAGGATTTGGTTATGTGAACACCTGCCAGCAGGAAATTAAGTATTTAGAGCTGTTAACATGCTTGCAAGGGTAGGTGTGTGATAATCAGAAATTGCAAATGATTTATTGGCATATTAGGTCTAGACATAGGTCAGAATTCAAGAGTTGGCATATTTTAAAACCCAAAAACTTAATGAACAGACCAACGGTCCTTAGCCTCTTCCTTGTTCATCAGTAACACCACCATAGGCACTGTTTCCCAGTGCTGAAGGTTGCGATGCCTTCAGCCATAAAATATACCAGGCCTTGGAGTAACTCAACTGCAGCATTTCTTTCTTTAATTAAGCTTGTAGTAAGCAGAAGGATGTCACCTCAAAGTATGACTATCACTAGAATTTTTTAAATCAAAAATGTAAAAAGCTCATATAGTCTTCTCCCAGCTTCATTATATCTGGTTATTTAAAATACTTATGTTTCTGAGGGACACTTCTAATGAAAATATATAAACCAGGTGGGTCTGTCAGAAGATCACTTGTTTTGGTTTGTTTACTAGATACTATACCCAGTGGTTACTAGCTTTGTTTTTAAATGAATCCAAACCCCAAATGTCTTTAACTCACTAAAAGGGAAGTCTTCTCGATAAACTGCCTGGATTGTTTTCAGCTGAAAAGAGCCAGTTAATTGTAAAAATGAGTATTGCCCAGTGCTCAAATGTGATTAAGTTTCAGCCATGCCCTTGAATGAAAATGGTGGATATGGTCCAAAGGAAGAGCACTTGACATTTAAAACCTTACCTGTGGAATTCTAAATTCAAGCATCATTTTACATGTTTTTCTTTTAAAAAAGAGGGGATTAAAATTTGGTTATTAGGCCTTTTTACATAATGTTACTTCAGGCTCATTTAGTTGATCAGCACAAGTCCTTCTGTGGGTATTCTGTGGCCTCAGTAATTTCCAGCAGCTCAAAAGGATTAGGAGTATTTGCAAGCTATAGTTTAAAAAAACTAAACAAAACCCTTAATCAAAATGGAAATATCTACAGTGTGGCTTGTACTAGGTTTAATGAAGTTAGTTAGAATCATACCTTCAGTGAAGCTGGTATCATTTGCTTTAGTCTTTGCTTAAATATACATACGTTCTTAGATTAGGTGGATTGTTGCCATTAATTCCAGTGTTGAAATGAGAAGACTGGCACACGTTAATACAATTTTAAAAATCAAAATCCACTAACATTATGTCAGATTTCCACATAATAGAAAAATGCTGTCTCCTGCTCATATTTTTTCATCTAGTTTGTGGTGCTGACAAGTTTTTCTAAGTCAAATTTAGATTTTTCAAGCACCGTACACTAAGTCCAGAAATAAAGCTGTTTACTGCAATAAATATAAAAGCATTTACACACAGCATTATATTGCTTGCAGCCAAGTGCCTTCTGAATTGATAACCAGTGTTCCAAGACACAGAAACATGTCACGTGAAAATTTAAATGTTAACTTTGTCTTATAAGAAATACCATCTAGTACCAGATGCTACTTGTTTCATGTCAGTAAAGGTCAAGGGTATTGCACAAGACAGGAGAGGATGACAGTAACTGAATAGAAAATGGGGAAACCAGTCTTGCTAATGACCCATTTTATTCTGGAAAGCATCTGCTGCTGGCTTTCAGGGGGAGGGAAGGCGTGCATGTTGAAGCGACTGAGCACAACTTCTGCCATGAGCTTAGCGGGAACTGTGTGGCTGCTTAATATTCTCAATCCCCTTGTTACTCATAATTGCTCAGAGCTCAATTCAGATGCAACAGCTGCATTTTGGGAGGTCCTGCATTTACCTGTTTTGTGTGGGGTTTTTTGTTTTTTTTTTTTAAATATGTCAGCTAAGATCAACAAGAATGATTGAAAGGCTCGCCTGAGATCATATACAAGTGACTACAGCTGGATAAGGCCCAAAATTCTCCTAGTTCCCAGACTTTAGTGTAACCACAAGACCGCAGTGCTTTAGTTGAACTTCGTCCTCAACTGGAACTTGGCACAAAGAATCCCAAGGAAAGAATTTCCTTTTGAAGTCTCTTCTAAATGTTCTAACTTGTTTTGTCCTTTGTATTCAACTAGTTCAGGAAAAATAACTTTTAAAGTCCTGGTTCAACTGTCTAAATAAATGTTACGTGCTCCTAGATTTTTTTTTTTTTTTTTTTTAAAAAGTTGGTAACTTGACGTTTGCCAGAAAGCACGTAGCTTTGAAGGACATGGACATCAGTGAAAGGAAGCTACCACTGAAGATATTCCTCCTGTAAAGCAGAAAGCACACTGACTGCTAATAAAATACATTCCATTTCTGGGCAGGAAGCCTTTTTTTTGCCAGGTTCTTATAGTTCAAAGTGCTCCTCTTCAGTAATTGTTTAGTGTTTTGCTGGTTTTTCTTTTCACGCAGATCTTGAGTGGGAAATGTGAAGAAAGTGTAAAGTTAAACACACCCCTAATGTATTGGAAGGGGGAAATAATAACTGTAGAAAATGCTTCCCTCTTAATTTAAGCGTTCCTTCGGATCCTGCATATATCGGGTATCTTTGATCTGCCCTCTCCAATGAAAGCTGACTGACAGGACAGTTTTTGAAAAAACAATGGGGTTTTAAGAATAACAGCAATTATCTGTGTAAATGAAATGTTATTCATGAAGCTGATATGCCTGGAGTGTCTGTTACCTTTTCCTCCTCTTATTTTTAAAGTGAGCCACTTCGATCAAGTGCATTGACTCTCTCAGCAAGAATATTATTTTGTATTTGTAAAGCTTTTCTTCATAGAGAGGTAGTGTTACAGATTTGGTTGAAGTGAGGTGGTGTAAATCCCTCAGCCTGCTGTTGCCTGTGAGCACAGGAAGTCTTAACAGTCTTGCCCAGAGGCTGAATAACATGGTAGGCATCTAAGAATTCTTTTAATTTGTGCATTTGCAACTCATTTGTATAAGCTAGATAGCTCTACTTGCTCGGTCAACAGCTATACTTAAACAATGGTGCCGCCCTAACTGTACCTCAAATGCAGGAGTTCCAACTATCTGTGAAAAGGTTCTAAATTTTTCATGCAAACACGCAGGTGTGCTTGTATGCTCCTCGCAGTTTTACCTGCCCTGTATGTAGCCAGTCGTGTGCTAACTCCTGTACAACAGCCAGGTAGCTTTTTAGCTGGAGCCTCAGATTATCTCACTAGCTCCGGCTTTGTGCTTTTGCATCTTGCTGGCTTGAGTGCATGTTTGTCTGTAAAAGATCATGTGGACATACCCCACGCGGTGCTAGAGTAATGGTCGCAGCAGTCGAGGGGCGCAGTCTGCTGCCATTGCTCAAGCTGCCTAATCTCCTAAGTAACAGAGCCAACGGCATTGAGCTCTGACGGCTAATACACTGGTATTAGAAACTAGAAACAGGTCAACTATTTACATGCAGTATAAAAACTGGGAAGAAGTGGCACTATTTTAAACTGGATTTACCTAATTAAAATAGTTAACTTGGAGACTAGTTAAAATACTGGATGTTAGAACACCATGGGAAGAGTACCTCTACGGTGTATTTTGCTCTGTTATTCAAGTTTTTATTTTAAAAAGATCTTTATGATGGGATGTGATGTTAACTATAGAACACGGAGCCCCCTCTTGCAAGCCTCATTTAACAGTTCAAATGGGATTCATGTTGTGTAATTTTAGCCATAGATTATTTTGAGAAGTGGTTTGATATTACTGTTTTTCAAAGGCGCATGAAGGTGAGTGCAACAGAAGTTCATTTTAAAAAAGTTAAGTCTATCATAATCCAAGCTGACTAGAATGCAAAACATGAAATTTAATTTTTTTCCTAAGAACCTCAACCTATGACTTTAAAAGTTATGTGGCCTGCCCACCATGAATTTGAAAATACTGCCTTGAAAACATGCTGCCTGAGATCCTTAACAGACCTTTTTTTAAAAAAAACCCAACACATGCTATAAAATCAAAGGGATTATAAAATTAGAACAGTAAAGGAGAAACTATACTGGATACACTATAATCTAGAAATACAACTTTAAAACTTTTTTTCCTTGAAAAAAGCTGGTGCAGAGAATACTGCTGTTTTTATCCTGACTGTTTAATAATGGCTACGAATAATCACTTATTTATAATAAATTAGGTCTGCAGTATAAATGAACATATGAACCTTTCAAAAGAGACATACTACTGTTACTTTTAGAGTATCTAAAATGGATTTAAACTATTTCAAGATTCATTTAATCACTTGCAATTTATATTACTTTAAGAATCTGCTATACAGCAAGTTGAACAGAAAAAAGCAAACATTCTAACAGTCCCTTTTCCCTAGAACAATTTTCATGTAAGATGATAGTTTTAAATAGCTATTTTAGCGCATTCGCGTGTGCTCTCTCGCCCCCTTTTTCTAAAGGTAGCACAGCCCAAAGACAATGCAGGAATTGGCATTTGTTGACTGACTCTTGTTTTCTTCTCCATCTGGTAAAGATAAGGGGAAGACAGAGACTTGAGACAGAATGTCCCAAAATGGAAAAATGTGAACTTGATGTTTACTTTGCCAAATCTCCAGGGACTTTGTTCTTTTCCTTGGTTATAGTTGATAAAAAACGCTTCACACTCTGTCTGCATGTCTCTCTGTGTTCAGTTACAAAAGTTTTCAACTTCAGCTGTGGATGAATTTGTTTTTGAAGCTTCCATTTTGCTTCGCTGAACACAGTGCTGACCGAGGCAAGAAACTTCAGTAAAATCCAAACAGGAGCTCCCATTGAGAACATTTATGAGCAGCATTTTGTATATTCTGTTTTCTACTGTTCTTATTCTGGTGAGGAAGAATCCTCATCTTCATCCTCTTCATCTTCTTCATTGAATGAGCATGGAGTTTCTCCCCGTGATTCTGAGTAGCGTGACGTTGCGCTGCTGGACTGTTGACTGCTAGGGGCAAGAAACGGCCCAGTTGCTAAGGCCACTTCAGCGTCCAAACACAACCCTGGATTCTCACTATCAAAACAACAGAAATGGCAAAGTTTAGAGGATTTCTCATTAAGTTTTAAGCTTTCTTTTTGGCCTCACCTTTTCCTTTAGTTAAAGAAATGCTACTAAAAAGGAAAAATCCAAAAGCTTTACATGTAACGCAGCAAATAGTTACGAAAACTGCTGAAATATTGGAAGGTCGATTAAAAAAGATATTGGATGCCTTTTTTTTCATGACCAACTAGTAGAATTGGTCAAGCCAAAGAAAGCTTAAAGAAGAATAAATCCATCACGGTTTTGTCAATACATGGCAATGTTTGCAATTAAGGGATTAAATGCCGTAAGGAAGAACCTGGTCCAGAATAATCCCTCCTTCCATTTTTTTAAGGTACAGGTAACCTGCAAGCAACGTATGGTTGTTGAGGTGTTTTTTGGATTAGTTTGTTGTTGGTGGTGGTTGGGTTTTTTGTCTGGTTGGTTGGTTTTTATTTAAAATTATGATTAGACTGTGTGGACTTAAACTTCTTTCATGAGAGCTTAAGCAGTAGTGCATTTAGACACCAAACATTCTTTTGTATTCTTCAGAAGTATTATCAGGCTTTTTTCCACATCATTACCTACTTGTAGTCCATGCCCAGGCAGGAATTTAAGGTTAATCAGGAAAACTCTGTCCTTATAATAAGGGTTTGGAAGTTGATTCTATTCCTTTGAAACACAGATACAAAATAGCTAGTGTTCAAAATTCAAAGCATGTTGATTTGACCTTTCAAATATAATTATCAAGACAGAATAAGAGACTTCTTCCCCATCAGAAATCAACTGTAATAGAAAACATCTCATTTCCTGCATGTAAATGGTTTGAAATAGTGAAGTTACTGAAAGTACCACAAGTATATATCACTATCCTCAAATAATTTTTTTTTTTTTTTACCTTGATTTAGCACCAGAAGTGCCTCCTGCTACCTCTAAATGTGAGACTGCTTGTGCTGAACTTGAAAGTAACCCTTGGTTTATCCATGAAAATCCAGCAGACATATCTACAAGAAAGCATAATTGTATTTATGATAGTTACTTTTACAATCTTAAACTTTGCATTCTCTTTGCAGTTAGGATTCCTTAGTTTAGAAGCGAAGGTACCAGTAGCTCGAGTTGATTTTATACTGTAGGCATGTCCTGTTTAATCAAGATAAAATGTTATACATA